AAATTACAAATAATGTACATTATAATTTGAAAGGTCCTGGCTAAGCTTACAGCTCTTATTTCTCTCTTTAATAAATTTCAAAAGTGTCAACAACAAACACATTGAGTATGTTGGTTTACTATGTTAATAAACATTTGAATATAAAATATCATCGTTAATTAAATCATTAAAATGTTATTCTCAATTGAATCAATTTAATTAATTATAAATTAATTAAATATAATTGTTAATTAAATCAATTAAATATAATTGTTAATTAAATCAATAAAGCTTATTCGTTATTTAGATCAGTTTGTCAGGTAAAATGATGATAATTCGAAAAGTAATTCAAGATAATATACATTATAAATCAAAGACTGATACGATTTTTACCCGGTCAGGTAAGATATATGATCTATCATACGACGGACATTATATTTTAATGATATTTTTGTGACCTTCAATCATGAACATAGACATGAGAATGGAGACATGAGCGAATGCACCTAAGAAGCTGCTACTGGTTGTTTGCTGATGGTCAGTGTCATGTTCTAGCTTTCCATAACCTTCTACTATATCTATGTTTATCTTTCTGTGTTTTTTGGCGTCTAGGTAAATATTACTGCGTCTATGTTTGTGTGTCTGAGTAATTTTTGTTGTTTTCTATATCTTAGTTTTGTGGTTATATCTTTTTTGTTTATGTGTTTTAGGCGTTTGTGCTTACATTCGTGATGATGTTTTTCTGACATATCTGACTGTTTATAAGCACTGACTTACGTTAATGACGCACGTGTGTGCGCTAATGTATGTGCGTATGGGCATTTATGTGCGTGAGCGTGGATGTAAGTACAGGTGTGTGTGTGTGTGTTTTTTTTCACATTCCAGTTTAATTGTTTGTGTTTCTAGATTTATTACGTGCATTCGATTCAATTCCGTTTATGATTCTTTGGTGCATTAGAGATAAAGAGAAAGAATGAGAAAAAAAGGAGAGAGAAAACAAGGAGAGAGAGAGAGAAAGTTTTATGAATGTGTCTGTGTATAAAAGTTCATTTCAAACTGTAAAATTTTTTCCCATTATTTCCACTACAATGAATTTTTTCAGTTAAATTTTACTTTATGTCAGACTTTATGTCATTCGCGTGTATAAAAATTTGTATTATGCATGCGTGCATTGTTGTATTTTTATGCATGTTTGTATGTTTATGATTGCATGTCTGTGTATTTGTATATAAGCTTGCACATGCACAGTGCACGTAGTCATGTATGCACTGTTTTTTGTTCGTGTAAATATTTTTATGTCTATGGTTGTAGGTGTGTGCTAGTATGTTTATGTTTGCGTAAATGTATGTTTGTGTGCACTTGTATGTTTGCACAGTGCACATTTGTATGTCCGTATGTTTGAATATTTCCATATAATCTTGTAGTATTATATAGACGTATGTCGCTTTTTATATTATTGATCTCTCGTATTTTTATGGTTTAATATACTTGGAGGTGTATAGATATATATATATATATATATATATATATATATATATATATATATATATATATATATACATGAAACAAATGTTTACGTAATTTGACATATTTATGTGTTTGCATATGTGTGTGCTGTGTGTGTGCGCGTGTGTATGTGTCCGTGCGTGTGTTTGTGTGTAAGTATGTGTGTGTGCGCGTGTGTGTGTCTTTGTGTGTGTGTGTGTGTGTGTGTGTATGGGTGTGTGTGTGTGTGTGTGTATGTTATGGGTGTGTATATGTGGGAGTGTATGTGCTTGTGTTTGTGTGAACAATCATTGTTATTATTATCATCGTTGTTATCAATATTGTATTGTATATCATCATTTTTAATCACGATCATTCTCGAGATTAAATGTTTTTGTTCTTGTCGTTGTCATCAGCATCTATTTATATAATTGCTGAAACAAATATTATAAATAATACTTCTAAATGTCTGCATTTTATCATATAATTGTGTAGAAAACAGTTTTTTGTTTCTCTCGCTCTCTCTCTTTCTCTCTCTTTCTTTTTCTTTCTCTCTCTCTCTATCTCTCTCACGCGTAATGAGAGTTAATTTTTCCGAATAATTATTTCAATTGATTTTCACATTAAAAGCCTGCTAGTGCCAACATGTCTGTTTGATTTCATAGAATGAAAAGTTTTCAAAAAAAAAAATATTTTTTTTAACGATGACGACGATGACAGTGCTACATACTAATTTATCATGATAGTGATAATGACGAGGTGAAGAAGTTGACGATAAAAATGATAGTGAAGATGATGGTGAAGATGATGGTGAAGATGATGATGATGAAGATGTTGATAGAGAGGCTGATGAAGATGATGATGATGATGGGGATAAAAATAAGAACTGAGTTCATTCCTCATCTTATTTTTTCCACCTGTCTGTATACGTTCTCAGAAAGAAGGAAGACAGAAATGAATGTTTATGAGTCCGTATTCATCATCATTGTCGTTCTGGAAAATTTTGTTCACATTTTTTTATGGTAATATCTCTGCTTTTTTTAAATTTTTCTAAAAAAAAGTAAATAAATTTTTATTCTACATAAGAATAATTGTTGCTTTTATAAATTTAATTGCTTTCTTCAACTTTACAATTTTTGGCTGAAAAATATTCAGTAATTATTAACGAAAAAAAAATTAAAAAACATTTTTTCATTAAGAATTTATGATAACAAAATTCACTAATAAAAAAAAACGGACAGAATAAAAATAGAATTAAAAGATAATGAAAGTATTTCAATGAGCTTTCAAATGAGCCAACCGACCATCTTTTTGAAAGAAAAAAATTTATTAAAGATAACTAAATTGAAAGCAAGCACGCAGAAGTCCGCATGCATGCTTTTATTGTTTTTTTTTTCCTGTTTTTTTTCAATTTTATTACATATTTTTTGTGAGATTTTTGAGTTCTGGTGTGTTACTATCAATGATTTTGTGGGTTTGTAATAGTTGTTCAGTGCGATATAGTCCGCTGATGTTCTAAAAAGGCTTAATTTTAACCGTTCAGATGCCGTGTTGTTGTTGTTGTTAATGTTGTTTGGTTCGGATTTGTTGTTTTTTTATGCAACTTTCATTGTTTTGTATGTAGCTGAACTGAAGATAATTTTAACATAAAAAAATAGAGATTATAATAAAAAATAAAAACAATAAGAATAATAGTAATAAAATAATTGATTATCTTCACAAGTAACAGCAACGCCAACAACATAGAAATAGTAACGTTAGTAAGATAGAAATATAGACCGAGTATGTTCAAACCGCCGTGTTCCATGAAATGACACAAAATATTTTCACCGCGCGATGAACGCCTGGTCGGCATCGTTAGAGAGAGGAATCCCATCTTAAACTGCATTCCTATTGGCTAGAAAATTGGGAATAAAGCAACGATGACATTATCAATGACGTCACCGACAAAGACAACAAAACATCAGCAACATCAACAGCAACAACAGCAACAACATCCACAACAACATCCACAACATCAACAACAACAACATATCGACAAGCATTCATAAATGATAACAACACCAACGAATTTTGAACCAGCAAAGACTCCAACTCCGACAACAAAACATGCATTTACAACAACAGCAACAACAACAACATCTTCATTAAAAGTAAAAAAATTCTATCAACACTTTTGCTCTGAAAATGAAAAACTAAGGAATTATATATGGAATAAAAAACAATATTGTTATTAAGGTCTATAAAAATCGTCATTTTAAAATAAGTTCTGTGATAAAAAAAACAACAATAAAATAAGTTTGAATTCAAAACAACAACCCACAAACAAAACTCACACCAAAATATGAACGTCAATAATAACTGACATCAGGAATGAGATCATACTAACAACATCAACAGCAACAACAATTATCAACAAAGTCAACAACAACAACAACAACAATTACCAACAAAGTCGACAACAACAACAAAGAGACATCAATGGCATCTGCGCAACGGCAAATTCTAGAAAAAAAACATCAACAACAGCCACGTCTGCAAAAAAACTACATAGACAACAACAACAACAATCGTGTTAACAACAATTACGACATCAACAAAAACAGCAACCAAAAGAAAAACAACAACAACAACAACAACAACAAAAACAAGATGGCTGTCTGCTTGGTTCCTATCTTAGCTTTGCACCGCCTACCGATCAATATTCAACATGAAATCGATGCCAGGGACCTTAACGCAAATATTTGACGATGACGAAGATCATTATTAAATTATTTATCATCATTTTATTATTATTACTAATACTATTATTATTATTATTGTTGTTGTTGTTGTTGTTAATTATGATTATCATTATTATTGTGCATTTTACTGTTACTGGCTTCTTTGTAAAGTAAAGCTGGCAGGGCTGATAATATTTTATTTAAATATTACAACAACAACAACTAATACTACTGTTACTACTATTAATAATAATAATAATAATACAATATTTATAATTACATTTATTTTTTTTATATATAATTCAATATTTATAACAAAAAAGTGTTATACTAACTACATCAATTGAATCCATAAAAAATTAAACTGATTCATACTGGAAATGTGTAGGATATCTCAACTTGATTAACTCCATTAAAAAATATCGGCTGCAGAAGCACCTCTATAAATTGATAACAAACCATATGCTACTATCATAAAAATCTAACTAAGTAACGTATTTGTAACTAAGTATTTGTACTAACAAGTCTGTCGTTTCGTCATTCGCTTTTTTAATCATCAATACTATCGTTATCAACTTTTTTTAATAACTTTTTAGAGGTTTCTACAACAGTACACATACACAACGCATGTGTAAACCTATGCTGTAGGCTGGTATTCGAACACGGTTGCTGCAGCAGTGAGAACATGCGCCCAGACCATAACACTACCGTTACACCAATTTATTAGGATGAACCTTAATGATGTTGTATTGTAAAATTCCTTGATGCTTGGCTGGTGTAAAAAATATAAAAACGCCCTCCGCTAAATAAAAGTCCACTTTTCGACATATTTTATTTTTAATTGAAGAAACAACATTACTCACACACGCACACACACGCACACAAGTATATATATATGTATACACACAAATTTTTAATGGTACATACATGTTTGTATACATAATACAAATTTCAGAACACAAAGTGCATTACATGTGTTGTATTCTTATTACATGAATTACTTTAGTTTTCGTAAATTAAACTTACATGTTAAACTTCTTAATAAACTAAGAAGAGCATACACATATGCATACACACACACACAAATATGTATGCACACACACATGTATACATACACGTACACATAATTATATAAACAACTAACTACTAAACATACTAAAACACGTAGACTTATTAACATGTAAATGATGATCAAATACTACAACTACCTTTAATAAACAATATGGACAAATGAATTACAAATTTATTAATATTTTTAAAAAATTAATTCAAATGTTTAAACTATTATTATTATTATTGCTGAAAAATAAAGCAAACTTGTAACAAAAATATGTGTGTGTCTGTGTGTGTGTGTGCGTGTCTGTTTTTGTGTGTGTTTTTTTATTTCATTATTTATATTAACTAGCATCTTTTAGCATAGGTCGCTTAGTTGCAAAGTAGGAATATATTAAATGGTCCATCCATCTATATGTTATATAATGAAAAATAAGAAAGATTCACTAGCAAGAAGTTTTTTCAACTTTAAATTCTACAGATATAAAGTTATTCATAAAAAAAGGAAGTAGTTTATTACAATGCAATGAAGATGTTTGAGCCACAATCAGTATGTATGAATTGTGAAAGCCAACTGCAATTAATAAAACCAGGAATCAATAACATTAAATCAATGGTACATTTTTAAACACGAATTTTCGTTGGTAATTTGCAGGTTGGTGAGGTCGTTGTAGTAGCTGCAATCGCTGAAGTGGTCAATTTTTTGATGTAGTGTTGTGGTTGTTGTGTTTTTTGCCCATTCAATCAATAAATTTGTTGTCGTTGTCCAATTTTTGTATTCAAAAGTTGTTTTTTTTTTTCATTGTTACTATTCCACTTTGTTATAATTTACGTAATTTTCACCCTATTGTTTTGTGTTTATGTTTTTTTTATTCTTAATATTTAGCAGTTCACTTTCTTGTTATGTTTGAAATTTTTTAATAAGAAATAATTTGGTCCAAAATGTTGCTTATTTTAATGCTTTATGTTTGGAGGAAAAATAATTTTTTTTTTAACAAAATCGCAGATAGTTAAGATTAATGTTATATCTATCTATTAATTTATATATACATACATATATGTACACATACAAGTGCGATAGATATAGTATCATCTAAAATTTTTTATAGAGGTTTTAGACAATGAATTTAAATATCTAGCTGGGTAAACCAACATCAACTTAATTCTAAATGGATACTCTTAAAATTACACATAAGTATTAGCTCATGAGACATTTTTTTTGATGTTTTTATACTTTTTGAGATTTAAATTAACAAGTGTGCTCTATGGTAAATAATAAAAAATGACGATGACATGTGTGTGTGTGTGTGTGTGTGTGTGTGTGTGTGTGTGTGTGTGTGTGTGTGTGTGTGTGTGGTGTGTGTATTGACTATGTATTGCAACATCATTAGCATAATAAATTGTACGAGTATTCTATTATTCTATTTGATGAGATGGTATCACACACATAGATACTGGTATATGTGGTACTGGTGATATATGTGTGGTGCATGTGGTCTTTTTGTACGTGCAGTATTTCAGTATGTGTGTCTGTGTGTGTGTGAATGAGTGTGTGTGTGTGTGTTATTTTGGTATTTGTGGCATATGTTGTGTTGGTAGTATGCGTGGCTCTTACATCTACTGCCTCCATTGGTTACCTGCTGGTCTGTATATACCTAAGAAATTGTTTGAAATGTGTGTAATTTGTTTATTCAGTTATTTCAATTTATAATATAATTTGAGTAAAAAAAGAAAGTAAGGAAGAGTGTTAATTTTTAATATTATATTTTGTTTAACCATTATTATTATTTTGTGGTCAACTAATAAATCAAAATCAGAATTTCATCCCATCCATCCAAAACGAACCTTGAGTCATTTGTTGAGGTTCAGTGATGTAGGGATTGTTAGTTGGTGGATAGTTTCCGATGTTGTTTTGTTGGAATGTGTTGTTGGCCACGTTGTCGTTGTGGTCATACGGTGGTCCCGTGTAGTAGTCATTGCTGATGTTGTTGCCGAACATATTGCTGCTGGCTTGTTGATCTTGGAAGAGTTTAATTTTGGATTGTGGTCAAGAAAATAATGATTGGGTATTATTTTTTTACGTTGAAATAGTTCGATGTAGACAATATATTAAAAACATTTAGAGCAGATACTAATTACTAAATTACTAATTACTTACCAATTAATTATTTACTTACTAATTACTACTTACTAATTAATATATACTTCAAAGTAGACAGAATATTAAAAAACAATTACGGCAAATACTAACTACGAAAAATTATTTTCAGTATCATTCAGTAAAAACAGACTTTCACAAAAAATCACAAATATAAAAACGGAAACCGGATTACTCAGTTTGGTGGAAGATGCACTTGCAGTAACTGCACTGCCGGGCACTCCGTGGGGAGCAAGGTAGGGATCTGTATCCATCTCATTTGTCACCTGCGGAGCACCAACTATGGGAGGGAGTTTGCTGATGAAGAAGAAGTTCAGTGCAAAGTATCCAAGTCCCACAATCAGGCAGGTGACTCCATAGCCACGGAATACTGAAGCCGTTCCTATAGCAGATGACAGAAGACAAATTTTATTAGTTTTTAAGCGTATACTTATTGATGAAATCTATGGTAAAAACATAAAAAACTTGAAAAGATTAGAAAAAATGTTTGAATCAAATAAATATCATGAAAATATAATTCTTTTATAAAATTTTTAAAAAAGCCCCTTCACAGCAATTTAAAATATTTGATTGTGAATAATTTTCATAAAATTCATCATTCACCGAATAATTCACATTTCATGGTTAAGAATTTATGATTTCAAATTTTATAATCTCTTGACACACCAAAACTTGATATAAAAATGCCGCCAATGACGGTACCACACCCGCGCCCAACCGCCAGATGAACAGATTGTAAGATGAGTTGAGCCGTTGGTTTGTATTCATCTGGAATGGTTTGCGTCATGTAGGACACGCCTGCCGCCCACACGGACGCGTGTGTCAATCCTAGATGGATAGATGGATGGATGGATGGATGGATGGATGGATGGATGGATGGATGGATGGATGGATGGATGGATGGATGGATGGATGGATGGATGGATGGATGGATGGATGGATGGATGGATGGATGGATGGATGGATGGATGGATGGATGGATGGATGGATGGATGGATGGATGGATGGATGGATGGATGGATGGATGGATGGATGGATGGATGGATGGATGGATGGATGGATGGATGGATGGATGGATGGATGGATGGATGGATGGATGGATGGATGGATGGATGGATGGATGGATGGATGGATGGGTAAGATATTGGTGATTGGATAAATGATTGATGAGAAAAAATATGATTAATAAAAATAAAATACAGTGTATGGAATAAAACTGAAATGGTCGGTGCAACGTTAAAAAATGTAAAGAAAATAACAGAGATAAAATAAAAAAATAATTTATCTGGAGAACCCCATTTATGGATTTTAGATGAAATAACAATGACCATGAGTGTGATTACAGGTGAAACTGAGTTGAGTTTTTAGTTTTGAAATCAAACAGCCGTTTTAATGCTAGCTTTTCGGTTACATGTGCATTGAGTTGAAACTGTGAAAGTGTGCAGTTATCTTTGACACGCAAAGTTTAGATTTTTGGATACTTTAATCTTGAATTTAGAATCTTGAGCGATGTTATATATTTAAAGTAATCGTATGTTTTAAAAATAATTAATCATAACTTGAATAAATTTTCATCATTTGACTTACCAACTGTTGATCAAACAGAGCCAAATGAGTATAAATGAGTACAAATTTTAAAAAAAATTAATCGTAAAAAAAACTAATTTTTTAATTGTTTTAAATTTCTAAATTGACGAAATTTGAATTATAATAATAAACCGGCAATTAAAACCTTGAAGGAACTCAAGAGGCAGAACGAGCCAGGCGTTGCCGAGATAGGAAATACAGAGGAACCTCACAACATTGGCCAGCAATCCAGCGTATATTACATTTATGTGTCCTGTAAATTGGGCATTCTCAAATTTTTATCTATTCATTTTTAATCTTTAATTTATTTAATACAAAATATATCACAAATTTACCAAATTTAGCGACAATTTTTTTGATGAAGAGAAAGGCTCCCAATTCAGAAAGATGATTGACAACAGACGCCAAACCGAACAGCGTTGGACTGCCCCCCAAGTCTTGAAGGTGCCAGAAAAGAAAAGCAAACACCAATCCAACTCCAAATCCACTGAACCACAGCAGAAAAAACACCGAACTAAATTGAATCGGAGCGAACATTTTCAGAACCGTGATCCAATGAGGAAGAGTACCGACTTGACCCGGTTTTCCCCTCGGTATGTACGTCAAAGGACTCGGTTTGTTCATCGGTTGTTTCGGTTCGTTTGATGTTGGATTGAAGGATTGTTGTTGTTGGGATGCAAGCAGGTTGTTGCTCATCGTTGATTGGTCGTTCAATACTCCTTCCTGTTTGCCGCCCAACTTCTGAACCTTTTCCATAACCTGCATTAGAGATTATACAACAGAAAAATAAATAATATCAGAGTATTTAGACAGCGTTGAGCTAAAACAAATAACCCAGGTGTATTAATGACGTTAGCAATAAATTAATAGCAACAGCATGCGAATTTTAACGAACTTTGCTCTTAATCTGTTGCAGTTGTAGAGTTTGTATGGGCGAATCTGCTTCTCTGAATTTGAACTGGGTAGCACTGATGAGTGCGCAAAACATGAGGGCGCCGAAGACGGCATAACAAGTCATGTAGTTTCGATCGACCAAGTGTTCCGTGCCGCACGGATGCCTGGAGAATATGTTCGAGTGGTCAAGTGCTATACCGACAAAGAACATAGCGACCGCCCATCCTAGCGATCCATATATTCGCTGTTTTCCGTAATTTTCAGTCTGACCATCCAAGTAGCCCAACGTGGCCGTGTCTGCGAGTGTGATGGCTGGCGTGCTCAGAAACTCGCCGATGATTTGTAGGATGAGAAGAATCAGAAAAACGCTTCTTACATCCTTGGGTTCGGTTGTTTTGTGTTATACAATTGTTTTCGTTAAAGATTAAAATTACTAAATTAAATCGTTTAAAATGAATAAATTTATTTTCATAGTGTTTGCGTGTAAATGAAATTTTACAGAAAAAAATGGAATGCATTTGTTTAAAGAATATGAACGGGAAACCTGCAGTTTGTAGACAACAGCACTGAGCGGCGGAGACACGAGATCCCGAACATCCCCTTCCTCCAAGTTGGCAATGTGCTTGTGGTTGAGAGGCAGTGGAGATATCCCGGGAATGTCGATTGCCGGGTAGGGAAAATGTTTAAATTGATAAAACTTCTGCTGCGTGTTTTTGGTAGCATCGAAAGGTTCGTCGTCTTCAATCTCGTAATATTCTCCTTCTTTGTCATCGCCAGCCTCTTCCTCTCCTTCCTCCTCTTCGCTTTTCACGTTTTGTTTTTTTGAGTTCTTTTCTTCTTTTTTGTTTTTAGATTTTTCATCTTTTTCCTCCTTTTCATTTTTTGATTTTTCTTCCTTTTCATCTTTTTTATCAGTTGCTTTCTTTTCAGGGAGATTATTTTCTTTCGGTTTGGTTTTTTCTTTCTTACTTTTATTTTCTTCCGTGGTGTCGTTTTTCTTCGAAGCACTTTCTTTAGTTTCTTCAATTTTTTCATTGGGGTCGATCTCATCTTCGTACTCGATGATGTCATACTCGGGTTCTGGTGCTTTAGTCGTCGTCGTCGTCACTTTCTTTTTGGGCTTAGTTGATTTTTTTGGAGCATTTCTTTTAGTTCTTGAATTCATTTTAACAAATGCATTATTTTTGTAGTTAAAAAAATTGCTGCTTAATATTTCGTCGTAATTCAAGATCGATCTCTTTTTACGATCTTGCCCAATCTCATTTTCTCCGAAATCTCTTCTGTCCATGTCTTCAAACTTTAATCCACTTATCGTGTAGGGTTTCGCGACAAAAATATTTGTTCCGTTGTGTATGAGACACGAGTTGGCAGGTGGTTGAATGAATGCCAAGCAGTCAGTGAATATGATCCAACAGGCCAGCGATCCGATCATTATCATTTTCCATTTCTTGTATCGTTCAGCCAACTCACCCCAAAACGGTCCAGCGAACAACTCAACGAAAGGTCTCAACCCGATGAGGAAGCCTGTCTGAACGGGGCTCATCCCGAGTTGTTTGAAGTAGACTCCTATCAATGGAAACAAGGAACCGAACGCAGCGAAGAAAAAAAAATAGAACGCTTTAGCGAATAACAAATCTTTCTTCACATCTGGAAAGGACACGTTGAACTTCTCAGTGAATGTCCCAGTCGGTGGAGCCTGTTGATTTGATTCTGACTGAAGCAGACTTTGGGCTTGATCTTGCACATACGGCAGTTGCTGCTGTTGTTGTTGCTGTTGTTGCTGGTTTTCGTTGTAATATTGTTGTTGAGGGATATAATTTTGTTGTTGCTGCTGCTGGTTGTATGCGAACTGTTGCTGATGTTGTTGCGGCGGTTGTTGCTGTTGTTGCTGGTATGGATAGCCACTTCCACTTCCGATGTTGAATTGGTTGTATTTTGCGAACCTGCTATCGAGGTCGTCGTCTCCGTAACCATATCCGTCCAGTGTTGATGGGTCCATGCTCCGTTCTTATTGCTGCGAAGACTTTTTAGTTTAGGTTCAATAAAATTTTTTGATGTTTTATTTTTTTTAAATTGCTGTTGAAAATTTTATTAGAGTAAATTCTACTTGAAAAATAATTTTAGAATTTTAAATTTTCCAACAACCATTTACTAAAAATTCAAAGTGAGATAGTTTAAATGAACATTAGACAAACAATTTTGGATTTAATCTATTTAAACATGAAAATTAATTCTAATTTAAAAAGAAAAATCATTTTAATATTGAAAAAACGCAATTGGCAACTAAAACAAAACAAGCAGTTTTACTCTAACCAGTTTATAAATTCCCTAAAATGACTTTCAACAAATGAAAATTTTTGAAAAATTTTAAAACGACCAGACTTCGAAACATCAGATATTTATATTCTCATAGAACTGAACTAAAAACAATTAAACATCAGAGAGTTTGCATCTTGTTCATTCTCTTCTCAGCTTTAGACAACCCACGCGCGACACGGAGACATTATCATTTTTTTCTCCTCAATTCAACAAAACTGAACACAACAAAATGAGGTGCTACTTGCTTCAGTCCACTGCTTCCTTGCATGTGCTTCTTCAAGCTTATGTAGACATGCCTATATATGTACGCAAACATTTATGCATATATTTGTATGTGCGTGTGTGCATGCATGTATGTATGGCTGCATGTATACTTATATATACAATATCCATGCATGTACATGCAGCTTGATTCATAATAACACTGCAGGGCAGCGTATAAATAGATTTGTATGGTCGGAGCGGGGAGGAGAGCTGATGGCATGAAATTGCAAATAATTGGGGCTTTCCTGTGAGCTGCAAGCAATTTTGATGCGATAAGATCAGTGTCATTGTGTTTTCTGATACGTTAGCTCAGCAAAAATATAAATTTTGAACTATAGTCGTGCATCATAGCATACATGGATGCACGCACACGCTAACTACTTCAAACAATTTTTGTGAACGCAAATATTTAAAATAAAATAATTTTAATTGCATTTCGCTTCTGCAGATTTTTCATTTTGTTTATCAAAATTTAACTATCATTTGCTAAATTATTCTTCTAGTTTCAAAAAGCTTCAAACTGATTTCTAGTAATTTTCTTTCAAAAAAATAATTTCAAATATTTCAGAACCATAAAAAACAAGTGAAATGGCTGTGGAACAAATGTTTAAAAAAATCATTTATTTGAACCGAAATTAAAAAACTATACAAACACTCCTACACATAAAATTTTACCATTCATGAACGTTACAACTGAGTGAGCAAGCCTTGAAAGAAGCATCCTGCCAACCTACCTACCTACCTACCTACCTACCTACCTACCTACCTACCTACCTACCTACCTACCTACCTACCTACCTACCTACCTACCTATCAACCTACCTACCTACCTACCTACCTACCTACCTACCTACCTACCTATCAACCTACCTACCTACCTACCTATCTGCCTACCTACCCACCTACCTACTTACCTACCTACCTACCTACCTACCCACCTACCTACCTACCTACCTACCTAACTACACACATTTTGTTGCTAAATGAAACCAAAGAGACCAAGCATCACACATACGGGCTCATATTTTCTAGAAAGTAATTACACACCACAACACCATGTGTGCTGCCAATAAAAAATTCATCCACACACCATCCACTCAGTTGCTAGAAGTTCTTATTCTCAATGTTCTTAATGCTTATATGTGAACGAACTGAAATGCGTGAACATACGCAACAAAGTAGTGGACGCGTTTTGTGCCGCCCGGCCTTTGAAAGTGTAAGTACATTTCATCAGATTAAGCATGTGTTCTGGAGATTCAAATGCACAAAAACGTACACACAACAATGAATTATTGAAACATGAAAAATAATTTTTATCAGATAAAACACACACACACACACAATCATACATACACACACACATTTTTATGAACACAAATGTAAACATAATTTTATGACATAATTGATCCAGATTTGAATATTTAATGCCACCATATATACGATTTAATTTGTGCAAGTGGTCGTGTTTTAGACGAATACATGCGTTGTTTGGTGGGCTGGTGTGCCTCTTATGAACGTGAATATGAAACCACATTCGACCGTAGGTGTGTTTAAATGTTTCTATGAATTTTATAACGATGTGCATGTACATAAAAAATATCTAAACATTCATTCATTCCTATCAACATATGTACATCATTCGTTGTGTATAAATGAAAGCACGCTTCTATTCGTTGCTGCATATAATTTTTAATGAAGCGAACAAACACACACATTAACAAACAAACACAAACACACACACACATTAACAAACAAACACAAACACACACGTCACAAACACGTAGATGATTGTGCAGATTTAACTTCATTATCTGGAGTACATGCCTTGAGTTTGTTGCCAGACAATCCTGTTACATGTTACATGCATAAAATATTCATTCATTTATTTATTTTTATCTTCTCGGTGCAGCACGAATCAGGAAGCTTTCCATACGGAAAATCAATAACGACAACCCATCGCTGTGACGTAAGCGAGAAGCTGTCTACGTATTTTTGTACGTAATGCTCTGCCAGTTTGCTTTGCACGTACATACATACATACATATCATACATTATATCTACATAAGTGTAGACAACTAAGTGTGAGTATATGTGAGTATAAGTGTAAAATAATAATAATAATAAACTCTGATTGTTTCCCTGTTAAATGTTCCAAGGATAGTGTAATGGTTAATGTACCAGCCAATGTACATAGAGAGGTTCCTGGCTATGATTCATGTGCGTGTTACTTACTTAATGACACACCGTCCAGTTGATTATATATAATTATAAAATAATAAAACCATTATTTTCATCATAATCAAGTTATTGTTAAATGTAGTGTACTATAGTATGGCATGAGATCGTATCGTATCGTATCGAATCGAATTGTATCGTAACGTATTGTATTGTTTTTAGTGATTGAGAAAAAAAAATAATTTAAATTCGTTGCTAATAAGAAGAGATAGATCAGAATTGTGAAATGAAATGAGAACCACGCTAACGCTAATTTTTAAATACAAATGTCAACACTAACTTTTAATTTCAATTATACTCAATTGCTGTTTTAAACAGTTTCATTCGACGAATATATATAAGCTGCCAATACTGAAAACATCACGGATCGTCACGAACAAATTGTTATTATTATTATTAATATTATTATTATTATAGGCCGAAAAAGGCGTATTTAGTAATAGTCTCATTAGTGAGGTTGTTAAAAGTAATATCCATTATCATTAAAACAATTCCCGCCAAATATTTGAAATACCTTGGAAAAATACTTTCAAAGAGTATTTTTCTCATGGAATGCCAAACATTTTGAAAATGAAACGAATGAATTAATTCACTTTTCTTTCTTTCCTTTCATGCATACACTTCTAATTTTAATTGCATGCACATACCTTACGTACCTTTTACTGATCTGCATATTTATGTAATTCAGGGCTCAATTCGTTGTTGTAATTGTGCTTATGATATTATTACTATTATTACTATCATTATTATTATTATTATTATCATTATTATTATTATTTCTTCTTCTTATTATTATTATTATTATCAATGTTAATGTTATTGTTACACCATGTATTTTCATGATAGAAGATGTTGACGACGATGATGATAACTAGCAATGATGATGAGATGATGATGACGTAGCAATGACTATATGATGATGATGATGATGATGATGATGATGATGATGACGTAGCAATGACTATATGATGATGATGATGATGATGATGATGATGATGATGATGATGATGATAGTGACTCCAAATAAATATGTCAAACTCATTTCATATTTGAAATATTTAATCGACAAAGTTGAAGATGTGTTGTGTGTGTGTGTGTGTGTGTGTGTGTGTGTGTGTGTGTGTGTGTGTGTGTGTGTGTGTGTGTGTGTGTGTGTCTTGAAATATGCTGCTCATCATTCACATAATCAAAGCATTTTTCTCCTCTTTATATAATAATAATATTCAAAGGGTGATAAATAAAATCCAGCTTGATTTTCAAAATTTTGATAAAGTTGTACTTGTGAAATGTTTAACGCAATAAATAATGTTGACGATGACGACGATGAGGGTGGTGGTAATGATGATGATAACGATGTTAATGATGATGATGATGACGACGACGATGATGATGATGATGGTGATGGTGATGACGATGTTAATGATGATGATGATGACAATGATGATGATGACGATGAATTTTTTTTTTACATTTTACTGATTCTTAGTAATTAATTTTAAAAAAGTAAAAATCGTCCGTAAATATCAACTTTTAAAATTTGTACTTGTTAAATGTAAGACATTAAAAAAATACACATCATAATGTACAGAAATACACAAAAATACACAGCGAAACCATCTCAAACGTTTGATCCATTAAAGTTTGAAAAATTTGAGAAGCGTGCTTTATTAATGCAAGGGGCATGTTTTTATGATTCGTCATGTTGATAACAACTCTGTGATTAATTAAACACAGTCGCGGATAAACACACACGTGTGCTTACACACATTTATACACGTTCACACGCATATATACACGTGTGCATGCATGTACATACTTCCTGTACATACACACGCATATACACACGCACATGCACACGCATACAAGCACAAACATACATACATACACACACGTATACACGTTTATGTAACTATTTTATCACTCTGTTTCTCTCACTGCCCTGTTCTTTTTTCATCTTTTCTTTTTCATTTTCACTATATTCTTCTCTCTTTCTTTCTCTCTCTTTCTCTCTCTTTCTCTCTCTCTCTCTCTCTCTCTATCTCTCTCTCTCTCTCTGTTGTTGTGATAATTTTATTTTTTTATTGTTTTCATTTAATTATTATTCATTGCGTACATTGTGCAATACACACGATACGGCACACCCACCCACCCATCTGGATCAAGTTTCTCTTCTCGAATTAGCGTGGGATGTGGGATCTAGGAAAATAATGTGAGAAAATTAAGTTTATTATTATTATTATTTATTATCGCTGTTTTTATTATTATTATAATTATTGCTGTTGTTGTTGTTGTTGCTACTGTTGTGTGTGAGTGAAAGTACATACATACCTTTATGGGAGTGTGTGTTGGGTGTATGAATGTATGTATGCGAGTATGTGTTTGAGTGTGTGGTGTGTGTGTGTGAGTGTGAGTGTGTGTGCTAACTTGAAGTTTAAAGATAGATGGTTTAAATATATTGTGTGTAAGTTTATGCACTATATACTACCCGTGTCAATTGAATATTTAATTTTCAATTGGTAAATAAAAATATATTATAATTTATGATATACATGTGTGTGTGTGTGTGTGGGTGTGTGTGTGTGTGGTGTGTGGGTGTGTGTGGTGTTTGTATAATATCCATTCGCAATCATGTATATACATATACACATGTATTTATTTATAGATATAACAGTACATGAAATTTTTTATCCTTTCGTATAAATAGCAAATGATTGAATCACTGTTAACAATGTGAAACAAACATTTTAAAATGCTGATTTCAGTACGCATTCGTTCATAGGAATGATTAATTAATAATCTTTGAGTTGTTAGCGCTTGCTCGTTTAAGACTTTTTAACTTGAAAAAAGTTGTTATGAAGATATTTACAGAAGATATTTATTGACACTTCGAATTACATTTTATTAAATAATATAAATTTTAAAAAAAAATATATATAAAAAATTTGTCAACAAATTTTATTTAATTTTTTGAAAATTTTGATTTATCGAAAACCGACGCAACATGAAAGAGTTTTTGTATCCTTTGTTTCTAATTTGGGTTATAAGAGCTGCAGAATTTGATCAGTTGCCATCTACTACAGCTACTGCTACTACTACTACTGCTACAATTACTACTACTTTTACTACAGTATTAATGTTAAACTCCACTACACCAACAACAACAATGGAGATAAGTGCCAACTCGTTGGATTATGTTTCTCTGACAAGAAGAATGTTATTATTGCCGACAAGACCGTTCAAGACAAAATCTGAAAATTTTGATTCGAGGACAAAATATTTAGGATCCACGTCTGGATTGATGTCGGCGAATCAATGGAAAGTTATTCCGAATCCGAAACTTCCATCAATGAGGAAATGGATTGGATTATCAAATGGATTAGTACCTTTCCCACCGTTAACTACGTCATCAGACACATTAAAATCACCACCACCACCAACAACAACAACAGTCGCAACAACAAAACAACCTCACCAACAAGCTCCACAATATGCAACACACAACACGTCATCTTCTAATACCCAAACAAACAGACTTCACAGCCCACAAAATTCTCACACAATTCCACATCAAACCTCACCAATGCGAGGACAGCCACACTTACACAAACGCCACGAACAACAACAACAACCGCAGTATCAATCTTCCAACAACAAACAGTTACTTCGACTACAGCAACAACAACACGCAGCAACGACATTATCATTATCACGAAATATTTACGATGACAAAAACAGACTTAAAAATCTCAAAAAAAACGACAATATCTCCTTACCAGAGTTCAGAGTTGTCAATTTAAAAAGTTTTTTCAACGATTCGTGCGCTAACAAGAAAAACAAAACCAAGCAGAACTCGAAATCAAATTTGTCTGACGTCAAACACGCATGGCGACATGCCGCAACTAACCAGCAAATGACGTCACCATTCCAAGTGCAAAGATATCACGCTGGTATGTTAAACTGCCCAAACAAGCAGGTTCAACTTCTTATCTTAGATAACTCTCCGAAATTCATCCAAAAAGAAGACAACCGATTCAAATGTTTTTCACTATTTTACACTGGCAACATCACAGTTGAATATAGAGCCATCATTGACGTCGTCGTCGATGTCACCATGAAAAATTATTTAGTCAGTAGCGATGGCGGCCACAGCAGCAGCAGCGAACGTCACGACGACACAGAACTTCGTGCAAATTTCAAATTCATAGATGCTAAAAACAACGGCTTGAATTTTAAATTAGTAGATAAACGTCTGAAAGATGGGGCTGATCAGATGGAAATATCCTTCCACCATCGAGATATCATGCTCTTCATCAACAAAACCATCTATAACAAGATTCGTACTACTTACAAACTACAACGCAACTATCTGCAGTCTCAAAAGCAGCTTCAAAAGCCACTGAGAAAATTGACAGAAGATGATGATGTAATTGATTTCTACAAAGATTATGCCAATTTAATTGTCGATTTATCGTGCCATGTAACCGTTATCGAAAAGTTAAGCAATCAATATATCTACCGGTGGAAGGACACCATTGAAAATATTGGCACATCTCTGATTTATGACGTGAAACCTGACGTCACATCCTCTTCCGTTGGCGAGTTGATTATGTGCGGAGCGAGTGGCTGGCCACCGAATGTTTGGCTGGAGTTTGAGTGGAGTTACATCGGTCATTCGCACGTTGTCGTCAACGCTATGAGAAAGAAGATAAGTAAAAGAAGGGTGCAAACGCATCAACAACTGCAAATTCATCAACAACAAACGCAACAACATTCGCGACAACATCAACAAAAATCGCATCAACATTCTCAGGAACATCGGCACAACAATCACAAACAACGACAACGACATCAGCCACAGCAAAAACATCGACGATCGCTGCAAACATCATTCCGATCACAACAACAACACAAACAACAACAACAAAACTACAAAGGACAACAACAAATGCGAGAAAAATACGAACAAATCGTAAAACTTAAACCAAACTCGAGGCCGCCGATAATAACACAGAACTACTGGTTGAAAGTTTATAACCCTGGAAACTTCACTTTCTCATGTGAGGCTAGAGCAAAAATCAACTCTATCAACAATGACATCAACAACAACAACAACATCAACAACAACAACAACATCAACAACATCAACAACAACAACAACAATGACATCAACAACAACATCATCAACAAAATTTGGACGGGAACATTACAAATAAACGGCATACGAAAAATAACAAAGTTTGACTCGCAGAATGATGGCGGAAGTAAAGAGAGGACAGGGAAAAGTGCATTCATCATCGGAGGCGTAGGAGTGTCAATAACCATCGCGATAATGGTTATATCTACCTTGAAGAAATAGTCTTTGGCACAAAGTTTAGGCGGAAACCAATGAAATTTGCTTCTGGATACTAGTTCATTTACTTTCTGAAATCAATGAAATTTGCTGCTGTTCATTTACTTTGCAAACTGCAAATATTTAGTAAATATGAAACTCGATTAGAAATTGTAGTTGTTGCGTGTTGAATGTTTTTATGGTTGTTTCGTTGCTGTACCCGATGTTGTCCTGTTGATGTTGTTGGTGTTGATGTCATTAACTAACACTGTAAATATTATAATTAGAGTATTTATATCACGCATTTTTTTAAAATCTTCTTTCAGAAGAGCTGGAATGTTGATTCAGCTGACCTTGTAAGTAAATGTTAGTCTTGATAAAATAATTTGAATATTGTTCATAGTGATAATAAAGTGATTTTATTTTTTAAAAAAAAGTTCAATGAATTTGTGAAAATTATAACAAATAGAATAAATTTTTAAGTAAAGTTTCTTTTGTAGGTTCAACACAAAGTTAAATTTTTTACCAAGCAAACACCAGATGACCAAGCAATCAGAAGATACCTGCAATTATTTTTGTATGTAGCATGCGTGTGTTACTCAAATTTTTACCTTTCTATTACCCTCTCATGTCATACTCATTTGAGGCAGTATGTTCACAAATTATTTTTTTTTACATGCCACTAATAAAAATTTCATAATTCATTAATTTCATATCAAGAATTTGTCATATTTTTCAAATTTTGTAATTTCATCATGTCGAAAAAAATTTCTTCAAAATTTTCAGTCTCTTAAAAATCAGATGTACAATGGTTATTATTATTGATGGATGGCAAAAACAGTTTTTTTTAATATTTTTGAAAATTTTTCAATTTGGGTGTTACCGATAAGAAACAAAGCTCATTTAAAGACAACGTTAAAATATGAACTATTCACAAACGTCAATTTTTAAGAGATTATATCCAAAGCGCCTGCTAGCTAATAATTTTTTCTTCTTATCTTGTTGAAAGATTACAATTTTAAAATAAAATAAAAAATTTTTTGTATGTACACGTACGCATGTAGTATCCATTTACATTCGTTTATATGTTAGTAAGAAAACCCACAAACACACATATATGCATACTCACACAGACAAACACACAAATATACATACTCACACAGACAAACACACAAATATACATACTCACACAGACAAACACACATATTATACATACTCACACAGACAAACACATATACACGCAGTTTATGGTGGATAAATTTTTTAATTTTAATGATATTACACCAAGTATTAACAATGCTCTCTTCGGTAGTTTCTTCTTATAACAGAATTTACTACATTATGTGCAAATTTTTGTAAAAATTTTCTCTTCGCAATAGGTTGTTTCTGTTTAATATTTCTGATTTTCATGTTCTGAATGTTCATTTGTATTTTTTAATCATTCATTCAAACATTCATTCATTCGTTTGTTCGTTTGTTCGCTCGTTCGTTCGTTCGTTCATTCATTCATTCATTCACTCATTCATTCATTCATTAATTTGTTTAACAAACTATTATATCTGGCGCTTTTCCAATCGTTCATTCGAATGAATAAACAACTTGTTAAGGCATTTGTTGTTCATATACACATACTTAAACGGTATTGATATAAACGCTAGACGCTCCATATAACAAGTATTAAATAAATTTTCGATAAATATTTAATTTGTTGTTTAATATAGCCTAGTTTATTTCATAATATCATAACGATTGATTTGTTCATTCGTTCATTCGTTTTATTGATTTAACTTCAAAAATTTTAAAAGAAACTTTCCAAATGAAAGATAATTTGTTGTTTTCAGGTTCAGGCTAAACTTTGAATGTAACATTTTATTTCGAAAATCAAACGATCAATCAATCAGTCAATCAACCACCAAACCTTCAAACCATCAAACAACCAACCAACTAAGCAATCAATCAACCAATCAACCAGCCAACCAACCAACCAACCAATCCATTAACCAACCAACCATTCATTCAATCAACCAACCAACCAATCAATCAACCAATCAAATATATTTATGTCACAATCCAAAAAAATAAGAGTACATTTTATTAACGTCATTGAAACCACATTCGATGTAATCCATTTTTTAAGACTATTCTCCGGTAAACTTTTAACTTTTATTTATTTTTTATAAATTTTATTATTTAGTAATTATTTTTTTCAATGACTGCTTTAAACAGTGAAATTTTTCAAGAGATCAAATTAAAAAAAATTTCTAAATTAAACCTGAAAAAATCTTTAAGTGAAATTTTATTATTTATTAATTATTTAAAATATCTCAAGTATGACGTTCATTAAAATGTGTCGAAAAATATTTCCAACTATCTTTGATCATCTATTATAGTTTGTGCATGTTAAATTTTATTAACGAGGTCACAAAAAATGGAACAAAAGATTTATTTCTTCAAATACAAACACATACAGTGCAAACACATGCAGTGAAAGCACACATACACATACATACTCATACACGCACACACATATACAAGCAAACGCACACACACAAACCCACCAACACATGTACTTTACAGAATTCTAGCAAGTCAAAAAAAAAACAATTTTTTTCACTACAAAATTTAACTACGCGGAAAAAAGAAAATACGGTTTTTCAGACCATCGGGACTAAGGAAAAAAACATTGTGATGGTGAAATAGTTTCACAACAATAATATAGCTAATATCATCATCATTATCATCATCATCCTTGTATCTAGTGTCATCATCATCATTTTCATTATCACCATCATTGTATCTAGCATCATCATCATCATCATAATCATTGTACCTAGTATCATCATCATCATCATTTTCATCATCGCCATCATTGCACCTAGTATCATCATCATCATTTTCATCATCATCATTGTACCTAGTATCATCATCATCATTTTCATCATCGTCATCATTTACCCATCTCGATCGCCATTTTCAGTGAGCCCTGACGTCACATCATCGTCATAGCCATTATAATTCCCTATCATTACATTTAATGACACCATCATCGCATTTATCACACCTTTAGTCTCATCATCATCATCGTTCTCATAATGTCATCAGCAACATCATCAGCATCATTTCATTTCATTTTCAAAGTTTTATTTATAATCAACAACATATCAAATAAGTGAATAAAAGTTATGAAGTAGAATATGCGGAGACCGAATAAGACTGTTTGTCTTGTGGTGGCCACCGCTGGTAGATACATGAATAGTTAATGAAATAAAATAAGGAAAATAACTGAAGCAGAAGGATAATTGAAGATAAATAAGTAAATGTTCGTGTCATACATATATAGACATATAACTATGTTCGCTCAGTACATATATAATCACATAAATGTTTAACCATTCATAAAGACCATTCATCATCGTTATTATTATACCGTCATCTTTATTTTTATCAAACTTTTTTCAGAACTGCAATTGTTGTTGTTGTTACAGTTGTTGTTGTTGTTGCTGCTACTGTTGCTGTTGTTACGGTTGTTGTTGTTGTTGCTACTGCTGCTGCTGTTGTTGTTGTTGTTGTTGTTGCTGCTGCTGCTGTTGTTGTTGTCGTCGTTGTTGTAACACAATATATGTAGAATTGCGTAGTAATATCTAGCTCATTTATTCCAAAATTACCTCTAACTTACGTGGTCCAATTTAAATGATTTCAAATTTTATAACAATTTTCTTTGGGTTTATACCTAAACGATATTTTCAATGTTTAAAATGAATGGTAGTTGTTGTGATTAATGTGTACCTGATATGCGAGTATCGGGTTTAATATATCTGTACTGTAAATGCATGCCAACGAGTGTGTGATACTTATAAACAAGTACAAAGCAAAAAACCGTATCATAATGATATGTATCCACCCACATCTCATTTCATCATTTGCCCAACTCAATAAAACCATTATTAAACTGACTTAGTTGACTTTTCAACAGATTTTAGGTGCATTTTTTTCATTGAAGTTCAAAACTTATAAACTAATTTATGTTTATTGCCATATTTTTACATTTTTAATCGACTTACAGAACAGTAACTGCAAGGGTATTGAAAAAAATTTCATGAAATGATTTCATCATAAATTGTAGAGTTAAATTCAGAGATTTAAAATTAAAATGCATGCAATTATGTCAATTATGCAACAAAATGAAATATTTAAAGTTGGAACGACAAAAACATAGCATAACATAACAGGGTTTAAACTGGTTCAGTAGATTAGAGTCTGTGTGAGAACCTAATAACCTTCAGATCTTGATCTAGCAACTGTTGTTTGAACAGTTGTCGCTGAGACCTTTTCATCACTTAGATCATTCCAGGTGTTTGCCACTCTACTTTTGAAAAATCTTTGCTTGACGGCACTTTTTTTGAGAAAATAAACTGAATAGATTAAATTTACATATTTATAAATATACATAGCTATGTGTGTATGCGTGTGTGTGTGTGTGTATGTGAGAGTGTGATGTGTGCGTGAAATGTGTGAAAATAAAAATAATTTCTCTAACTCGAGGAATCCATTGAAGCGATTGAAAATAAAGAGACGTCTATATAATGTGTATGTGTGTATGTGCATGTGTGTATGTGCATGTGTGTATGTATATTTGTATGTTTGTGTTTAGAAATGTATGCATGTTTGTATGTGTATGTATGTATGTTTGTATGTATGTATGTGTATTTATGTCTGTATGTATACATTTATATAGCGCATAATATACAACGTCAATTCCAATTCAGTGAGCAGTTTTATCTTTCTTCGAAGACCTTTACCCTCCGCAACTAAATGATACATGAAGAAGATGATGATTATCATATTACCATTATTATTAATATTATTATTATTATTACTATTATTATTATTTTGTTATTATTTTTATTATTGTTGTTGTTGTTGTTGTTGTTAGAGGGCCAAAGGTCGAATAAATAAATTAAAAAAAGAGACCTCATCTCTTGAAGAAATGTCAAATTGAAGAAAAAGGGAGAGTATTCTGTTGTATC